TTGTAAGCTGCCTTGTTTGATCGCACTTYAGCGCGGGTCTCATGGGTATCTGTTACAGACATGTAATGATGTGTCTCTCAAATTAGCAAAAATTCAGTTAGCCTAAGCAGCCAAAAATTTTAAATGATTGAGAGTACATCAGCGACGTTTACACTAGCCAGTTATGTGTTCCATATCCATGCTGGTTTTGACCCAGTACTTTKGGATTGGCAAAAACTCTAAAGCTGAACTTACACATCTGAACCCCAGCTGCTCCCTCACGGGTGGGCCATACATGCATACATGTGCACTGCTTTAACTCTACTGTGCGAGAGAATTCTCTGGGCCACAGGGGCTTAGAAATAGCATGTAAACATATTTCAACTATACTTGAAATATCTGGACCTATAAATACAAATTACAATCAAAGAGAATTTTTCAGTAATACCAGGTGGTGATGCATGCAAGAGAGACCCTTCATCTTCTCTGAGACTATGAAAACCGTGACTTTTGATTGTTAATATTACGGCTYCAGTTTTCTTGTGGACTGCGTATCTTGGTAGCAGGATCCTTCTGCTATCATGTCTTCCATTCCACTAACAGGTGTTTAGGTATATTTCAATCTGAATATAGTGTCTGATAAATCTCTAACAAATGGTACTCACCGTGGCTTAAATGAAGTATTGCATATGCTTGCAGACACACCCAAGCACTCACCTTAAAAGCACACAGGGACAATACTACTTGTTAGCTTGCACAATGCATGAGATAAGGTGATGCAATGTTCATATTTCATTGCTCTTGTATGTGCTGTTCGTGTCAGGTGTTTCTCCTGCAGCACGTAAGTGCCAGGCATTGATCAGCTCTGCAGTCCTGTTCACCCTCATCTCTACTGTGGTAAAAGGTTTGGTAGAAGTAATCCATTTGATCACTCCCTTTTTACTCTTAAGCAGTCAAGTCATATCCTTTTTTTTGCTTATTAATTCTCATGTAAGGCTCCCAATGACATCACCTATCCAGAACTTTTGCGGTGTGAACCATTTTGTTATTTATAGAGTTACTTATTTCTTATACTAAACATTGGCAGGGTTTTGGACAGGAAAATCAGACAGGAAGGGTGCTAAGATGAGCAAAGACAAGAAGTTAAAGACAACAAAGAGTTGAGATTTTTTAATACATAGGAAAGGATTATTTTATTTTTTTTTTCCCAGAAAAATATGGTGACCTGAATTATCAGAAAGTTACATGTTTATCAAGAAGACATTTAACGTATTTTCTTAAAAGTGCAAAATATACTATGTAAATTTTAGTTGGCTTTTACAATGTATTTTTAGTGTAATATTATTTTTCTGAAGAATARCRCTAWATTTATAGCTAGAGGAATATGTAAYRTTACTGTAAGACATGTTGGTGTATTTTTAAGAAGGGAACCTATTTATTGAGCATAGGAAACAAAATGCACCTTCAAAAATAAAAAATGTTGCAGTACTTAAAGTCCTTGGAAACGAGATGTAAATATTGACATGCTTCTATAAGGCAGAAGATATGATGTTTCTACAGGAAGACTACATAAATCTATCTTTTCATTTAATCATTATTATACAATTCACATAGCTATTAAGAATTCTTGCATTAAATTTAGACTAGAATGTTCTTCAAAATATCTTCAGATGAGTACTTTGGGGTTATACACAGAAAGTATGCTGGACAATTGCAGCAATGATAATATCCTCTTATAGCACTAATACTGTATGCTGGGAAAGCCACTTTCATTTGGAGATGAAATGTGGGATATTACAGCAATTTCTAATATTGTCAAAATAAATGTGAAGAGAGCAAATTTTATTTCTGTCTTTTGTAGTGATTACTCTTGGCCTTCCCTGTTTAAACAAGGAAGAAACAAAGAAAAKGAGAGGAACAGCTTGGGAAGACACCTGGCACTTAAGAGGAGTCAAGGATGTTCAGAAATAATTGTGGGTTTTTTCAGAATTATGAAAAACATTTCTTGGAAGAAATGCAATTTCTTTCCCCCTCTCCACTCACTTTTACTCTTCCATAGAGTTAGTTTGGACTACTTAAGAAAATAGGCACATTTTTATAAATTCAGCTCTTCAGATCCATAAGACCACTTGTTATACACATTTTCTCTGAAATAATTTTGGAGTGGCCAGATAGACCATTCATTGTATCCAGCACATGTGAGGTATCTGAGCAAACAGTTTGTCAATTCTCCTGGACAGTCCAAGACTCAGTGGTGTATCGATATTGCATATTGGAAACATAAGAGCAGTTAGATAAGGATAGCAGACCCTGAAGAAAATAACTTCACCTATTTTACCATGTTATTTATATATGTATGTTGCCATTAGCTGMAGTTTTGTTAGGCTTTCTAGCATTTCAAGTTGCAGTGTAAACTGCCAGATTAAGATCTTTGGCTCAGATGTTGCAGAGAGAAAACAGAAAGCTGCTGAGGGTAACGAAGGTGGTTGGAGATCTTGATGTCAGTGAGGAAGAAGAACGTAGGCTGCTTAGTCTGATTTGACTTAAACAACTTTTAGTAGAAACAAAATAGTTCTAGAAAACTCTGCCAGGATTTGCAGTCCTTTAGTCAAGAAGACAGTCTTTTGCTTAGGTGAGTAGGTGGCTTCCCCCTTGGCCATCATGTGCCCTTTACAATTTTCACCTACTGCCTGATAGGCAGCCCCTTCCTTTCAGTGTTCTAGACTCTGGCCTCTGCCGTTTTATCCCTAAAAGAAATTGGCCCAGTGTTGGTGGCACAAATCTAATGTGATTATTTTAAATAAAGACCAGCTAAATCTGTATGGGGTAAGATACAATCAGAGATTGTAAAAAAAAAAAAAAAAACGGCTAATATTCCCACGGGAATTTGCATTGAAGTCATTCCAAGCACCAGGGAATTCCATGTGCACGTAGTGTTCCATGCACAGCATAGTGTTGATCTGCACAAGAGTTTCAGTACATAGCAAACTTTGTAATCATGGTTTCACTAGAGTTGTGAGTTTACTATGTGTTCAGCTGGTATTTACATTATGATCTCAAAATTGTCCTTTCAAGTGTGTAGACCTGAAAAAGAATATTTTTTTTTTTTAACTGGCAGTTCTGGAGTACAGGTAAATTAATACTGAATCAGTGTCGTATGTTTGATTTAGTGGGAATACTGTTCCTTTGAAATAAACCACAAAGAGTGTGTTGTGTAAGAGGGACGCAGGTTTACAACTCTCACATTGTAAACTAATGGTCTAAGTCTTTACTGGCTTATTCAGAGTAGTATTTTATTAGTGCTACAGCCAACAAAAGCATATTGCTTGTCTTATCTATGCCTCTTTATAACCATATTACCGAGATTACAGCAATTCATTGCCTGACACTTGTCTATCTGAAGTCAAATCAAATATTCACTGCTGCTCGAAGTAGCCTGGAGAAATAGTTCTGATCCCTCTGGTTACYTCTCAGCATCTCCTCGCTGGTTGTGAGGGAGGTCTTGCATTATGCCTTTGCGAGATCCCATCTCTTTGGTTATGTGTTTCTGCTCTGAGGAGTTGTCATTCCTTTACTGTGTAATTTATTCRATGGTGTTACTGGTATGCTATGGCATTTGTGGTGTGCAGCATGATTTTTCATTGCTATTTATAACATTGGTATTAATGGTAAGTTTGGTGGTATAGTGAAAGAAAGATTATGATCTCTTCCCCAATGGATAGCAACAGATAGGAAATAATGTATTTCATAATGGAACAATGGAAATAAAATGCTACACGTTAATTAAAGGTGATTAACTGAAAGAGAATACAGTTATTTAAACATGCTGAATCTAAAAAATAGATAATATTCTTTAAATGCTGTCAGCATTTTGAATTTAGGTACCTTTTAAATGCACAAACATCAAGGAATTAAGAAAGGCTTCTGTGAGCACTCTTTGGTTAATGGTTTTCCTGGTATCATGGAATCATAGAATCACCAAATTCCCTGTTTAAAWAGTAATGCCTGACCTGTAAAGGTCCTTGAATGTGTCCAGAGGAGGKCAACAAAGCTGGTAAAAGGGCTGAAAGGAATGTCCTTTGAGGAGCTGCAAAGAATTTTGGGCTAGTCTARTTTGGAGAGAAGGAGGCTCAGGGGTGACCTCATTGYCCTCTACAACTTCCTAAGAGGAAGAGGGAGGTGCTGATCTCTTCTCCCTGGTGTCCAGTGATAGGATGTGTGGGAATGGTTCAAAGCTGTGCCARGGGAGGTTCAGACTGGACATTAGGAAGCATTTCTTTACTGAGAGGTTGCTCATGCACTARAATGGGTTTCCTAGAGAAGTGGTCAAAGCCCCAGGCTTCTCAGTATTTTAGAGACATATGGACAGGCATGGACTAGGCAAATAATTTTACATCCCACCCAACTGAAAATATTCTATCCTTTTGTATATGTCATTCAGCTTTTGGACTTCTCCCAGTCTCCAGTAGAGATCTTGTGAAAATGTTTCTGAAGAGTGAAAAAAAAATTAGTTTTGAGTGCAGGTCAGTTGCAATAACTTCAGATTCTYCCTGCAAGGTACATAAGAAGAAACAGTCTCATTAACTCTTTGCTCTGAAAAAAATGCTTGGAAGTATGACAAAGATTAGAATTTTCTATGTCTTTTCAATCTGTTAGAAAAAAGTAAAAAAGTGAAAAAGCAGCAGCAGAATACTCTGTGGTAACAGACTGRTACAGAATATTTACTGGAACGTCTCATGAAATATTAGTAAGGGGTTTTTGTATCGCATAATTCTGTAGATTTTGGTTGACATATTGGTTTAGGCTACCAGCTTTCAGAAGCCCTGCCTATGCCAGATGCCTCGATAAAGGTCAGAGGGGCGTGACTCACCTGTGGGGAGTGTGTTGTCACCACCAGCTCTGGGCAGGACAGTCCCACCTGTTGTGTCCCAATTTCCATGGCAGATGCATGGCTGGCCCGGATTGGCTGCGCTGGCTCCCGCCTCAGCAYGGATTGGCTGAGCCTTCCACCACCTCTGTCTCATCTTGCTGGCAAACTGGCACTGCCCGGCTGCAGCTCCTCCACACTGACCACAGAGGGACCGGAGGATGCCCACGCATCAGCACTTGGTCAATAAGGTGTGTTGTTGGGGATGTGGTGGACAGGTGCACTCTAACTGGTGATAYTGATTCTCACAGCCTAAAGAATAAGTCTGTGGCTCATCAGCAGTGTCCAGGAGAAGGAGAAAAATACAAAGAATGGGATTAGAAAGGGGTATACAGGAATTAGTCTTAAACTGTTGACAGGATGTTGCAAGGACTGTGTTTTTCAAATTACAGAAAGGTATTTATCATATTCATTAAATCTTCTACATTTACAAGCTTTTCAAACAACTTTTGTCTCTATTCAGAAGTTTGCCCAAGGCTTTGGAGGAGCAAACCACYAAAGTGTCTCTTCCTCAGTCCAGCAGACTTTGAATGCAGTAGCTAACTAGCATTCAGGAAATTAATTGCTGGCCTGAAGTTGTATTAGGCTGAATATGGAAGAGGATTCCTAAGGTAGCAGTTCAGGTGTTGGAAAGATGTGGGTCATGTGGACTCATAGCAAGAAACGTTTGAATCTGTGATAAAAAATTAATTAGAATTTTTCCATCAGATAAAGGAACTGAGGATAWAAGTTTTCATAACAATAGCCAATTAGAAGTTTTCAAATAATATTTATTTGCCAAAATTMCCTATGTTTCTATTTTATAAATATTTACCTGTTGTTTCTTAACATTTTTCATGGAGAAAATGTAAAATTTGTGGTGCAAGGTAACATGATTATATTGAGTACATATTGGAACTTAGAGTCCAGGGAAGATTTCTGCCTCAAGTCTGGACTTGAATTTTTTAAAGATGCTAATATTTCTCTTTCACATCTAAAATTTACTTCCAAAGATGGCATGACACTCTTAGAACACCTTTTGAACTGTTAAATCAGAGAGCTGATGCAAAGAGAAGGAATCTCAGCCATGTGTCAACTTGTTGGACTTGTGTTTCTGGCTCTTTCATAGACAGAAAAAGAGGAAAGATTTCAGASTGATTTTCTTTCATAGCACTTTGAAATGGAACATCTAATTAGAAAAAAAAATTTTTTTCCACCTCTCAATGAGTCAGACAAAGATTTCAACAACACATAGAATKGTTCATATTAAATCACTGTTTACCACATCTATCGATATAATAGCACCCACATGCTGTATTTAAAACTTAATTAGGGGTGGGCCACGTCAAAATCGTCACAAGAGATTGGATAACCGCACCCAGTGTGCTGATACCAAAACATGATGCTTACCGGGATCCCATTTAAGTGACACTTTGATGAGGCTTTAGAGAGGTACAGTCTTCATCCGCTTTAAAGACATGATAACTTGCATGTATCGCTTTCCTGGTTGCTGCACTGACTAGTTGTRACACCATGCAAACCTTCATCATCTTCCTTGGAAATCTTTCAACACTTCACAGTCAYCTGTTTTATTATTTGTTGACTCAGTGGCTTTTTAAAAGTTGTTGAACTTCAGAGTTAAGTACACAGGTGTTTGGAACTGTGGAGTTTTCCCCTGCTTCCAGATGCTTCTGTTACTTATTCCATTAGCATATATAAAACCAAATGGTCTTACACATTCACGCATGAATCAAGATACATGACCAGATGGTACAAATTGAACTCTCRCATTGTGTTTGAAATGCTTTAGAAAAATCTCAAGTAAATATGTCCATTCTTCCTTTTACAGTCTGTTGTGTCACACAAGGCAATCCTGTAGCAGACAGCATGTAAAATAGCATTATTAAATACTTCTTGAGATTCAACTGTTGTATCAGCATTTTTGCAGCTGGAACAGCAAGTTGTTCATAAGATGTAATGRCTTCTGAAATTATGTAGTGCCATGGCTGCATGTTTGGGCTTTGAACATGGGCGGTAAAATCTGGTACTAAACACCTGAAAATACTCTTGGGAAATGTTTCCTTTCTTTCTTGGAAACAGTTTGTCATCAATGTCAGTACTGCAAGTAAATTATAAAGAAAATGTATTTTCTCTTAATGAAAAAGTCCTTGAAGYCTGGACTTCAGTCTGGCCTCTTAGTATTTTTTTGTGAATTTSTGTACTGGGTATAGTTTATTCTTAACTCATAAATAGCATGCCGTAGCAATTTGTATTTTTTAATTGTTTAGAAGTTCCAGAGCACTTTGCAGAAGTCTTTTTGTTGAGTCCTTGAGGAAGCAAATATCTTGAAAACCTGTAATTGTTCTCCAGGGCATTTAACTGGMTTTCTTGACTGTCCCTTGGAAGTGAGAGTAGGGAGAGCAGTCAAAAGAGAGCCTGCTATTCATGGTTATGTCTACAGTTTCAGAGAGTAAGGATTGCATCTTAGTTCTGGAATAMCCAGGGAGCTGAGCTTAATCTGCCAGTGCAATAATAAGGAAATCTCTTTAAAGACTTTTCTAGTTCAAAGGTGTAATTCAGCAGACACAGTTGTTAGTGGATTGCTGACATGTAACGTGAAAATTTAAACTTCCATTAATAATTCAGTATTTTTAAATTATAATATTTGTGCCTATTATTGCACCTTTCTGCCAGTGTACATAAGTATTTTATTTTAATTTTTGTTATTCAAAACAATAGCTTTCTCGGCTTGCTTTGTTTCAGATATTTGTCAAAATGGCAACTACTTAAAAGAATTTACTATGAACTGTATTGTCTTTTTGTTCCACAGATGGGGAGACACTCCTGCTTTGTTGTTTTGTTCTGTGGGATATTCTTGCCTGGAATTCTTGGTTTTCCACAGACAAACTCCTCAATTGATTGTGATTCTCTGTTACCAAACTATGAAGCTGAACCACAGACATCTGCACCACCATATATTATTGCTGTATCTTTTGATAACTTTGAGCCWGGAAATGAAGTCCAAGGTAAATAATCTGAATGACATAAAATCTTTGTCTTTCAGACATTAGAAGACACGTCTGTGTCTTCAGAATTACCAGTCTTTGTAAAATTGCCCTACTTCCCTCTCAGTCTAAATAATATAATTTTTAGCTTCACTCTGGTTCATGTATACCTGAGATTTTTTTTTTTTTTAATGTTTTCATATCTGTATATACATACTTGTTTAACTGGAAATGCATTCTGTTTTTTTTCTTTTCTCTATCTAATAAATAGATCTTAACTTTATGGTGTAATTTTTGTGGCAGAATTTTAATTAAGTGGGACAGCTGGCCAAAATGGACTAATAATTAGTTGCTCTTCAACTTTGTATTTGAGTATCTGCTGTTGAATCAGTCCTCTGCAATACAAAGGGATCCTATTCATTAGTCCTTCACATGCTGTCATCTTACAGGAAAATAAAAAATCAGGACGCAGTATGAGACAAGAGTGAGACATTTTGAGTCATCCTTCTAAGAGCTGCATCCCAGATTTTATCAAATTGCAGGACGTGGAGCTATTGTGATTTAAACCACCTTTTTATCTTCCTAATCCCAAATTGCTCTCTGGATGGAGCACCTTAACAGCCTTGTTTCTCCACACTATGATGTCATCTCATGGTGCTGTCACACTGTGAATGCTTCTTTTTCTAGCCAATCATTCTAGAAGCATGGAAATAGAATAGAGTTGTGACCTGTCACATGTCTGCTGGATCTCAGTAGCTGAAAAAGAGCATTATTCACTAAGTAGGTTCTCTCTAGCTGGGATTCTGTTTTGCTTTAACCTGGTAGCATAGATGTACTTCCACAGAGGGTGACATATAGGGAGAAGAGTGGAGAAGCTTAGAGTCCAATTATTGCTGCCATTCTTGGAAACCTTCAAGAATGGGAGGGCTCTTTAAATACTGATACTATTTTTAAAGTACTATTGACATAAAAATGACAGATGGATTTAAGTATATGTAGACTGTTCTGCGAGGTTAAATGAGATTTACCATGACAAAAATATTGAATCCCTTTGTCCCTTTCTTTTTTTTTTCCTAACCATGCCTATTTTTAACACTACTTTTCTCGTGCTTCAAATTGTAAGCACCCWCATCTCGGGGACCTGCATTAGGTCCCCTTCCACTGAGTATATTGCAGTTTCACTGTCACATACCATGTGCCAACTCCTATAGTTCATCTCTGTTGCATTTAGCCCTGCATTCAAGGGCTCCATGTAATTAGTCCTGGGAGACCTGGGGAAAATTAGTGAATTAGCACTGAAAGTTGATGACAAATTGGAAGTCTAATTGTGCAGGTGTTTGGAAATGCTAAATTATTAAGGTAGATTGGTCTTTGCCTTGACTTCTGTGTCATTTCCTGTTCATCCGCTCCTGTTTTTAATGATGACATATATCTCTTTTCATAAACCATTCTGATTTTTTTTTTGTCGAAGGTCTAGTAATGGAATTAGCAGAGAAAAGTTAAAATAGAACAGAACAAATTTGATTCTGACTTTCGAAATTTAATTTCAGTTTGGATACACACAAAGCATGAAACTATCTTCCATATTTTTCTGAGGTCCTTTAGTAACAAAATTTGAGTAATATTGAGTATCTCATATAATTATTAATTTTTCATGTTTAATTTAGAATATGGAAGCCAAACTGTAGTTTCTCTTTCCTGTTGTAATACATTAAAAATGTGTTTCTGCATTTCAACCTTACGCAAYAGCTAATCTTTTCTTATAAAACAGAGGTAGAAAGAAATGCAGTTCTCTTTCTCTTGTAGCAATTTTCATTTTGTAGGCCTTATTAGACAGAAAATAAATAACCTTTTGCTCAACAATGTCACTTGGTAGAGCAGAATGTATTTTAAAATTGTCAGAAAATCATAAATTTCRTGTTACTTTACATAGATGAGCCTTTCCAATTTTTTTCCCTTTCCTTTATTTTTGTTCTCCTTATAATTAAGAAAAGCATTTAAAACATTTTTTTAGAATTGTACAAGGCTTAAAGTATTTTTCCATAAAGAGTCTTCTGCCTTGGAGTGAAGCAAATTAGATGGTAAAAATTTAGGTGCTTTTGTCTGTTTGTGAAACTCACGTTTCTCAAAATGTCTATTTTCACAGTGACTCTAGAAGCACTTGGAGATGCTGGATTTAAAGGATTTAATCTACAAGCTCGAGAAATAGATGGAGATGTTCCTATTGGTACTTTTAAAATTACAGATCCAAACACTAAAGGCTTGGAATGTCATAACATGACGGTATGTGTTCACTCTTTGGACTACTTACTGAAGTTTGGGTTTCTTTTCAATAATAGAAGTAGGGATAATTTTTCATATAGAAAAGCTGTTTCATCAATAAAGTTTAAAAAGTTAGGCTTTCTCAAGAACTACATCTACCCTTTATATTGTGATATGAACCTAATCTAGAAATTCCCTGGCTCTTTTTAGGAAGACATCTGTCTACTACAACTCCTGTTGTAGTGGAGATATTTCCAATAATAATATAGGTGAAAGTCACCTTGGCATCTTATGTAATTATATGTATTTATTTTAAATTGCAGAATTCAGCAGTAAGTCATGCAAATTCAGACGTGAAACAGAAAGTTACAACAACATGGATTGCTCCACCTGATGCTGGAGAGCTTCAATTTATGTAAATAGTTGTTTTTCAATATTTTTGTTTGCCTTGAAATTTTATTTCTGTGTTGACAGGGACCTGTGTTGATGTTTATAATATTGTTGTCTTGTCATCACCACTGTTTTTTTCACAGTTTGCCATAACTTCCCACTATATTCATTAATCTCAGCATCTGTTTTATTTATCTTCAAAATTATGTGGCATAATACAAGTGACTATAATGAAAACTATTCTGTGAAACTTGTAGTGTATACACTTAGAACCAAAACAGGGTGGATATTCTTGGCTGGGGGCAAAGGGGGAGGAATGTTTATTAGTATTTTAAATTGAAATATTTTGATGGAAAAATAATTATTATTTTGTTTTCTTTCTAGTGCAACTGTTGTTCAAAATCTAGAGAATTTTTGGGTTGGAATTCAAAGCAAAACTCTCACACCTACGCATTCAGAGTCAGTTAATGGGACAGGAAAAAGTAAAAGGAAGGTATGTTATGAGTGTATTTGAATGCTGGAAATTAATACAGAAATTAAAGTATCTTTGGCTTGATACAAGGCATACATTTGTTGTCATTTACTTTTAGCCAAGATGGCCAAAATAATTAGATGTTTTCAGTAATTTTAATTGAACTGGCTAATCCTCTTACTAAAATGGTGGAAAAATAAAGTAAATATGATTTTTCTCCCACAGAAATAATGAAAGTAATAATCTAGTTATCAAAACAATCCNAAAATTGGCTATAAGGAGAACTGTACTTTACTTCTGATGTACAGTACTGTTCTTAACTGCTGTCCAGCCCCTGGGAGCTGCAGCTTTGTAGCATATTCTTGAATGGAGTTGGTAAAATTTTTTTGCCAAGAATTATGCTTAYATGAAGCATATTAAATATGATTGGCAGCTTAAATAAAGAAACTCTACTAAAATCTTCTATTGGACGGTAGCAGCACTGATTTTTGTGAACTTGTGATCTAACCAAGAGTGAATACCTGTCTTTAGTCTCTCACTTCACCATATGTATTTCCTGTTTCCTATAACAAACTGGCTTTTTTTTTTCAGTAAATAATCTGGAAATGCTTTCTCTTTTTTTTTCTTTCCCCACAGATTATGATAGAATTAGAATGTAACAAGGTAAGAGCAATTTTTTTCAATTTCCCAATTTTCAGTTACCTCAGTTATAGAATTCTTGTCCTAGTCATGTCCAMTTATTTCATGCTTGTAGAATAAAGATTGCATTGTGCCATTCAWATTACTTTCCTTGCAAGATCTGACTTATGCTTTCATTTTCTTATTCAGTTTTGAAGGTATTATTATTTTTAATTAGGTAACATCAGTTCTCAGATGAGATTGTTAAAATGTGTAATATATTGTCAGCAATTACATGTTTGATTTCCTTGCTTGGACCATCAATGTGAATTCAGTTGAATTCCTGTTTAGAGTAATTTGGTGTTTTTACACTGTCAATAAACAGTAACTGGAACTTGTACTTTCTTGCAGCGTGGAGGGACTTACTCAACAGGCCGATGCATCATGGTGAATATTCTTTATCCAAAGACATTAACATGCTGCTAACTGCCTGAGATCTCACAGCCTAGACATGTCTTCATTCCCCTTGTCACTCAGTTTAATTTTCTTTTTGACAGTTTATCTTTGTTGATTGAAAATTCAAAACTGTCTAAATGGYTGTCAGCCCTGTTACCATTTCCTCCTCCAGCTCCTCTCTAGCTAATCTCAAGTAGCTTTATAATAGAAGTTTTCTTTTTTCTGTCTTCACTTTTTATTCTTTCTGTTCAAGATCACTTCTTTCAACAGCTCTGATACTTGCTTTTTTTAAAATCATAATCTAGGTATAAAATAGAGCTATTTAATTTTTTTCCTMTGAAAACTGTCACTTGCATCTGAGTGAAGAAGCCTCTTTTTCTTGTTTGCTTCTTTACAGCAAATATGCTAATGATTACATAGTCATATCAGGAAAAGCTTTCATCTACTTTTAATGATTGTGACAGTGTAGGTTTCCTCCTTAATGATGGACRTCAAGGCTATGAGGTCAGATAAAAAAGGATGCAAGCAGCAGAATTATAATTATTATAATTGTTATAATTATTTATAACAGCTAGATTGGTACAATTTTGATTATTTGTCTTAAAAGATCTCTGAAATTATTTTAATAGTATCAGCTTGCGGAATGAGGTCATGGAAATCTCCTTTGTGTGTTCTTCCTTTCTCCACCAAGTACAACTTTCTTTCCTAAAATCACTTATATAAAAATATTTTTTCAGCAAAATAGTAAAAACTCTCCTGTTTTCTTTACAGGCTGGACCTTCCGGTTCCTCTCAAAGCAGCTATTCAGGCAGTCAGGTATGAGTCCTAAATTCCAGCATTTTTATGTTTTCCTTCAGTAACCTTGAATGACTACAATTGTGTAATTACAGAATACTGAGGTGATTTAATACTGTACTGAAGTATCTTCTCTGCTAGTTAACCCAGATAGCAGTTATTCATCCAATAAACAGTACGTTCAGCACCTGGGTTATCTGGTAATATTCCATTTCTTCCATCTATACTATTTATAATGGAATTACCAGATACTGAGAAATATGAATTGCTTAGATAAATGCCAAAGACTGGTTTTCTTGTATTTTTAAAATTCATGRAACATATTCTTTTCTAAGAGTTGAGTTTCTCATCTTGTCATATAACTACTTGAAGTTGTTAGTTTTTTTTAGAAAATATGAGCCATTCAGTAAAATTTTGAAAGTTTTCATGACCAGTACAAAGTTGATGAATGCTATGTGAAATACAGATGATAGGTAATATCTCATACTAAATTAGAATTATTACAGGTAGTGCCMGTGAACTAGTAACCTCTTAACTTATCTGTTGCTTGCACACACCAGTATCAATTGTATAGCTTTTCATGCCATAAACAGCGTGGCACTGTTTTTTTTCTGTCTGCCCCATTTGGGTTTTTTTTATGGAAATAATTGACTTCTGTTTTTATTTCAGGGTGGAGTAGTATACACAATAAGCAAGAGTGGATGTGGCCCTGTGAGTACTATTTTTACATTTTCTTTTTTGAGCTCAGCATAACTCTGTAGTAACTCGTAGCAYTCAATAGCATTGTTTAATGAATGTTCATGCAGCAGACTCTGTTCCAAATAGAAAATAATTGTGAGAAATAACTGATTTCTTTTTTTTGTCTTAGGGAGGTGCTGCTGGTGCATATGGCCAACACGCCTGYGGAGATGTAAGCTGGTTATAGATGTTTTTACTGATTGGCTCCTACTATGCTTCTTAACTCATCTGCTTATTGCAAATTTCATTTGATTCTCCCCCGGAGAGCCATTGAAATCTTCATAAATATATTCAGAAAAATAGGGATACTTTGATAAATTATTCTCAGATTAAAACCCAAAATTAAAAGGTGTTATTTTGCCAGTTCCCTGAAACCTAATCATTTATGTTATAAGGTATATATGTATATTTAGGTGATACATATCATCTGTTAGAAACTCTTAATTTGTTACCCTTCTAAAATGTCAGAATTCTTACTGTGTAATGCTTTTCTATCAATTAAAACAATTGTCTTTGGATATTGCATATTGTACAATATTATTTGGAGGTTTTTRCAATCTTTGCATATTAATTCTTTGGTAGAGAAATTTAGAAGAGAAATTGCTATTGCTCATTTGTTTCATTTTCACTTGAAAACAGATTTATAATTAGAAAATTATTGTATATATAAGTACCTTATCTATGGTTTTTTTTCAGAGTTCATCCATATCCACCAGTGGTCTTACTTATGGCCAGGTAACTGTGTTTTCTAACATGTTTTTAGCTTCCTAAGGTATTCCAAAGCTAAGCAGTTATGCCCAACCTTTACTGAACAATAATTAAGTTTGTGGAAGGGGTTCAAGGCAAATTGTCTTCAAATGTTTTAGTAGTGATCACATCTGGAAATAACTTCTGTAAATGGGTTAAATATTTTGTGTATGCTGCTATCTCCATTTTGTTAGAAGTTGCGTTTATTTTGCCCCAAAAATTAATAATTATTCTATAAATGGACACAAGTTACTTTCATTAAGGTTTTACAAGAGTCAGTGCTTTCTTTGGTGTTTACTAAGAATTAAAAGTACTTTTTGTGACTTCTCACATTATTTTATGCTTCATTTAAATAATTTATCTGTTATTACATATCCCAGTTTTTCCAGATTCTATTCGAATGGCAGGTTTTTTAGTTTTGAGAAGATGTGTTCTGGAGCTTGTGTTGTTTTTTATGAAAGTAGAAGATCTTAATCATTTTTTCTATCAACAGATTATTTTTACTACATAGAAATTTCCAATTTGAAGTTAGATGAAAGATTTACAGGTTTTATTCAGTGTTCTGTAAAATTAGCAAAATAATTGGGCTTTTAGAAAAAAAAAATTAAACTAGCTGATTTTTTTTCAATTGTTACTTATTAACTGCCAATATATTCATATTTTTGTCCAGACTCTTATTTTGTTTGGTACTTCAGGRGTATCATGGTAGCTATAATATTCTTGTGAAGAATAGCACTATAGTTAATTTGCCACAACCAAATCAACAGATGCATTCTATATTCTTTACAGTCTGTTCCTTCAAGCAGTTCAGATTCCAATAAGAAGGTAAGCACCCTTTTTCAAAGGGAGAAAATTCTTACAGATATAACTTGGTAGGACTCCTTTTAGTTCAGTTAAGACTTTTCAAGCTTTTAACCCAGATTGATTCATATGATTTCATTTGGTTTGGTTCTTAGAGGCGGGAAGAGCTTCTAATAAGAAAATATTAACACCTAAGCAGAAGATACAACTATTGCATTTGGATTAATTTATTTTTAATGAGCTCAATATAAAGTTTCGGTTTTACCATAATATTGAATAAAGGCAAAAATGAATTGAACTTCTAGTTTGGGGTGGGAAGTTGAAGATCAAAAAGGACACACARTACAGGCCAGTGGATATGGTACCAGACACGAAATCCTGCTTCTGCTTCTATAGCTGAGGCATTGTGTGGATAGGGGCAAGTCTTTTATCTTCTTATACTCTTGTGTAAACTGTGTATACATACATATCATTCTTAGCTTGGTAACGTGCATTAAATTTTTTTATTAAAATACACTTTTATAAAAGTGATCTTTCATAGCATGATTATCAGAGTTTGTAAATTTACAGATTTTAATATTCTTCATTTTTATAACATATTTAACAATTTAAATAATCTCTGTGGTGAGTAAACAGCTTCCTCTGGTTTCTCTATAGGTAGTGGTCGTTGCCAACAGCAACCCTTTTCCACCTGTGGTAAGCAGTTTTTCTGTACAATGCACGTTTTCTCTACTAATAATTTTGACTCAAAAAGCTTTCAAATATCTACATTTCTAATTTTTTAGAAATATTCCTGGAGACAATTCTTTGGCCGGCAGGAATTACCCTGTATGTTACTTACCTTCCAGGAAAGCCTGTTGTAACAGGTTCAATCTCATAGTTCYGTGATTGCTGTTAGTACTTACAGAGACAATGGATTAGCTGCAGATCCAGGTCAATTTAGGTCTCAATTTATACAGTCTCAGTGGTCCTGAATAGTTTTGATTTTCTGTTTCTGTTGCAATTTTGTTTTGTAAATTCACTTCATTCTCATTTTTAAATTATTACATTTCCACTCTGCTTACTTGGAACTAAAAGTAAGTTTAGCCTTTGGGTGCTTAAAATGAGTTTTTATAATGTAATATTTTGTAGATGTTTAACTTCTAATAGAACATGTTGTTCTAACCTGAATGAAGGTAAAGATGCATTTATTCTATACCATCCTTTTTATGTAATTCTTTCACATTTCATTGTGTATTGCATCCTAAGTACAAGGGCTCCTTTTCCCTTTCTCTGCTGCAATATTCTGTTTGGGCTTGTGCAATAATTAAAGATTTTTCTGTTTCATTTGCAGCGTCACACCTTCCCTCAGGTAAGCATGCTTTTTTCTTRTGATTCCTATAGTATTATTACAGTTCTTATGGGAGCAAACCAGTTGTCTCAGGATGGTGTGTGTACCCTTTTACATTTGTCCTTCATACTCTAGAATTCAGCAGATAAATGACTGCATGAGGAAGTGGATTGATGTATGTCCAGTGCAGGTAAAGGAAATATGTCCAGTTCAGTCYAGTGAGAGGCTGGAGGGATGATGATGCCTTAGCTTCCCTCACCACATTTGGAAAAACTAAGCTGACTGCTAGTGCAGAAAGGTGGTGCACATAACCCGTGCTCCACTGCTCTCCACTGGAGACATAAATATACAAAATCACTTGGTAGGGTCAGTCTGCCTCCCCCAGCTTTCAGAGCTGAGAATAATCTACTTGAATATAAGGTGTTAAGAGTTGATACACAGTACATTACACATGTGACCTTTCCCTTTATTCTCACAACGTAAATAGTTCAACTTAGTATTTTCTGTTTAAGTGCATTGCCTTTAAACAAGTCAATTAAATGTGCTATATAATGGGGGTTTTGTTTCTGGATTTTTTTTCAGAGTTTGGGAAGTTCTGCTACGAGGATCATAGTACAGGTAGACATTTTTTTCAACATTATACTCGAGTTTTAAATGAAGCTTTGTCTTCCTAAACTAAATAATAATTCTTCTCTTAGGGAAATAAATGTGGATTATTTAGAGATATCTTAGATGTCCACCAACTACTGTGGTGGAGTAGGGCTTTTCTGTAACTACAGCAAAGGGGATATCTTAGCTGGTTGCTAATTGAAGACTATTGCAGCWGCTTTCTATGCTTAAAAATTTGAAAACTTATGTATGTACATTCCATAGTGCTTTCAAAATTGGCAAAATTTTACCATCTCAGTCTGCTCAGGAAGGAGGAGGGAATTCAAGAACTAAAGCTTGAATGTTACTCAAATATCAAATCTAAATTGCAACCTGCATGATTCCATTTTCATTTAAACAGTCTATTTTTTTTAACAGAAACACCCAGTTCAGAATTATGTTCTAAAATCCTGCTCTGGTGAACTCAAGTGTTTCTTTAATATTGTGTTCTCCTCATAATCCATATATTTTGTGGGAATCAAAATATTTTTTTCCAGTGGCTTTCACTTGGGTTAAATTGTAACTGTGGATTTTTAAATTTTGGTTTGACAAAGTCTTTTTCAGAAGTTTGTTGTGCTTATWAATGAAAAAAATCAGTCATAATATGAATACAAATAGAATGAGTTTTAGGCAATTTGTGTGGTACATTTGAAGGGCAGGTTTTAACTCACTTCAAATACCACATTATGACACAGCAATGTATTATACAATGAATTTTCATTTAAAAATTTAAATGAAAATTTAAATTCATTCAAAAAATTATATCAAGATGTGCAAATACTTATGACACTTTATTGGTGAAGAATCTTTATATACATTTTATAGCACATGGAGATGGCATAAAGTAAGAAAAGGTGTAATGAACTCTATGGCTTTCAAACTGTCTAGTGGATTGAAGGATAGAGTTGTTTCTTGAAATGTCTTAGTACATAAGCAATTACTCTTAAGAAGAAACAACCTCCTTTTTTTTTGTTCCTGTGTAGAGTGGACAAAAACAGCAAACCAGCAGCAGTRCTTACATTCAGGTAAGTGAACTTCAGGGGCCAGCAACTTGGAAATAAATTCCTGGATTTCATAAGTGCAGGTATTTCTGTTTCCCTAGCTTTTGTTCATAAAAATACCATCTAATATTGGTGCTGAACTGTTTTTGTTTGTGATGCTCACAAACACATTTCCACGTGTGAGGGGCTGACATGAAATGACTGTATTCTACTCAGTGTCTTCTAAAAGGTGCAATAAGGGTCACAGTGCTGAGAGGAAGTGATTCTAAGCTCATTACCAAACCATCAGCCCCATACYGATAGATTCAGATCCCATGCATATTAAATCTCAGATTMCAAAAGTCATAYGGGGTAATTGCTTAGCCATATCAAAAATGATGAAAAATCATAATAATGGAACTATGTGCAATGTCTTCCAGCATCACTTAAATCCATGAAGATAAAGCTACTTGTGTGAAAAACAGTGTGTGAATTTAACAAATACTAGAACTTGGGAATATTCATAGTATRAACTCAAGTATGAAGGCTCTGTAAGTCTTCCACATCTTGGGTGCTGGGTGTAGCAGGGATGCAAAAGTCTGTCAATATTCTCTACACCACTACATGCAACCATAAAAATGTTTCAAAAGTCGTTGACGGATGAGGGCCACAGGAAGGCCACTACTCAACATCATAAATACTCAATATGCACAAGGTTGGCAGTCATGGCTTCTGCTGGGAACAGGACAACCTATTGCACTGATGTTAGCATACTGATCTGCCTCCTTTCTGCTTTTTGAGAAACACACAAGCAGCTGTATTGCCTAAATATTAAGCTCTTCAAAAAAAACCTTTTTTTTCAAGGTGGTAATTATTTTCTCTTTCTTTAAAGGGTTCCCAAGGCAGCCAGTCTTTTGGCCAGGTGAGACTGTTGCTGAAATGTATTGATCTTTTCCSTAGAAGCCAGTCTTGTAAATGGGCTTCAGGGCATGAGCATGGTGTTTCTGAGTGGTCCTTGATTTTGGTTTTTACCACTGAAACACCATGAAGGAAAACAGCAGAGAGGACCTTTAAATGGCAATGGACTTTTCTATCACTGCTGGGCTAGGACAACACAGCTTTGTTTACAGCTGTCTTCTTACCTTCCTTACAGGGCTACAGACCTCAAGGTGGCAGTTCCTATGGCCAGGTAAGCATCAGTCAGTCACCTGTCAGAATATATASCATTTTAGAAATGGAGCACTGTGGCCCTGTAAAAGCACTCAGCAAGCCCTCAGAATTTTAAACTTAAAGACATTTTCTCTGAAAGTCTCTATTCTCACACTCAACATTTATCCACATGCTACTTATTTATCTAGAATACAAATGAAATCATCACACACAGCATCCTTGTGAGAGCCAGGAGATGTCTGGCTCTTCATACTGTCCTGCATGGCTTTAGGATGTAGTTGCTTGCTGTTGCTAGTGCAGGCTGGACCCCTTACTGAAATGGTGTCCTTGTCTTAGGGTGGACCAGGTTTCTCGGGCGGTAGCAGCAGTTCCTATGGCCAGGTAAGCAAACTGGCTATTCTGTAGAAGATTCTTCTCTGATCTCTGTGTGACCTGTATGACTGGCAGACTTTTGAGAGTSATGTTTCCCTTGGTGGTCTGTGTCTCAGTTTGGGCCATGGCTTCTGCTGAGAATCAATKTGCTGCATTGGTATTGGCATACTGCTCTGTGTCCTTTGGCGCGGAAAGAACCTTTTAAAGAATCCCACAAGCAGCTGTATCTCCATAAATATTAAGCTCTTCAAAAAGGCCTTTTTGTCAAGGTGGTAATCATTCTCTCTTTCTTTAAAGGGTTCCCAAGGCAGCCAGTCCTATGGCCAGGTGAGACTTTGTTGCTGAAATGAGTTGAGCTTTTCTGTCTTGTAAGAGGGATTTAGGTATGGGATTTTTTCCTTCTTTGTATTTCTGAGTGGTCCTTGACTTTGGTTTTTACCACTAAAATACCATGACGGGAAAAACAACTTACTAGAGAGCAACCTCTAATGAGAATGGGACTTTCTCTCTGGTATTCTATGATTCTGTTTCAGGGTGCTAAGACTGCACCTCTGCAGCTTTGTTTACAAATGACTTCTTGMCTTTCTTACAGGGCTACCAACCTCAAGGTGGAAGTTCTTATGGACAGGTAAGTATCAGTCAGAATRGAACATTTGAGAAAGGGAAGTGCCATGGCCCTGCAAATTCAGCCGATTTGGATATTTTTTCTTTTCAATTCACATTGAATTCTTAATCAATACATTTCTGAATCCATTTCAAATGTTTTGTTGTGAACATGTACATTGTGTTTTTCAGAGATATTTCCGGGAATCCTAGATTTCTGCTGCTATCTTACTTTTTCCATYGGTTTGGAATTTGTTAAGTTTATGGTAGAAATAATCTATCGATGMTGTTCCCATTCCAGTTGATCATACAATACAAATTTATGATCAGTTCTTTGCTTCCCTCTTTGTTCCCAGCAAAGTAGTGTTGAGGAACTAAAGAACTTTGGGTCAGGTTCTCAGCTGAAGGAAGATTTGGTCTCGGAGGATGCAGCTGACAAATGTCTACCTCCAGAGTTTTTATGCAAATTAGGGCAGCCCTAAAATAGCTATAAATTTTGTCAGTATCTGTATGTCAGATAGCAAAAACAGACACCATACTTTCAATACCTTTTGGTAATCCCTGTCTTCATAGCTMTCCCAGGCAGCTGTGGCACACGTCTGCATGTACATGAAACAAATGCACTTTTTTGAGATTATATTGAAAGCAGATTGCAACAGAAAATTGTAACCACAGTAACTTTATCTTGTTAAATTTTTTTTTAAAGATACATTCATCCTTGGTTAATTCATTCAATCTGCTACTTTCAATTGCATTGTTTTGTTTCTATTTTATGGACCTAAATTTTTTCTAAGATTCTTTCTTAATTTTTAAAATTTATTTTCATCCTAATTTTCCCTCCAAGGAAGGGAGTTGTGCAACTGGGGCCAGTGGAAAATACAAATATATGAAATCARTGTTCACCTGCTATTCAGCATTAACCATCTAAGCCCAGTGTCTGAAAAACAGAAGGAAAAATAAACATAATAAGAAAATGTTATGCCCCTTCTCGGAAAACCCTCACAAGACTAGAGTACTGTCTGAGACAAATGTAAAACTACTCTACGACTTTTGTTCAATAAACAGTGTGATCACTATTCCTCCAAATTAAGAAACATCAGAATAACTTTAATTAAGCAGCAAAATCTATACATTGTCTGACTTACTGTTTTCCTACCCCACAAAGAGACATTAGAGAGGCATCTGCTTCACAAATACAGTAACTATGAATCAATAATTAATTTCATACAGGGCTACCAGCCTCAAGGTGGCAGTTCCTATGGCCAGGTAAGCATCAGTCAGTCACCTGTCAGAATATATACTATTCCAGAAATGGAGCACCATGGCCCTGTAAAGGCACTTAGCAAGCCCTCAGAATTTTAATCCCAATGTCTGAAATCATCACACACAGCATCCTTGTGAGAGCCAAGAGATGTCTGGCTCTTCATACYGTCCTGCATGGCTTTAGGATGTAGTTGCTTGCTGATGCTAGTGCAGGCTGGACCCCTTACTGAAAGGGAATCAAATGGTGTCCTTGTCTTAGGGTGGACCAGGTTTCTCGGGCGGCAGCAGCAGCAGTTCCTATGGCCAGGTAAGCAAACTGGCTATTCTGTAGAAGATTCTTCTCTGATCTCTGTGTGACCTGCATGACTGGCAGACTTTTGAGAGTGATGTTTCCCTTGGTGGTCTGTGTCTCMGTTTGGGCMRTGGCTTCTGCTGAGAATCAATKTKCTGCACTGATRTTGGCATACTGYTCTGTGTCCTTTGGCGCAGGAAGAGCATTTTAGGGAATCCCACAWGCAGCTGTATCTTCATAAATATTAAGCTCTTTAAAAAAGCCTTTTTGTCAAGGTGGTAATTATTTTCTCGTTCTTTAAAGGGTTCCCAAGGCAGCCAGTCCTATGGCCAGGTGAGACTTTGTTGCTGAAATGAGTTGAGCTTTTCTGTCTTGTAAGTGGGAYTTAGGTATGGAATTTTTTTCTTTCTTGGTGTTTCTGAATGGTCGTTGACTTTGGTTTGTACCACTAAAATATCATGACAGGAAAAACAACTTACTAGAGAGCAACCTTTAATTGAAACAGGATTTTCTCTCTGGTATCCTATGACTCTGTTTCAGGGGTGCTAAGACTGCATCTGCAGCTTTGCTTTCAAATGACTTCTTGCTTTTCTTACAGGGCTACCAACCTCAAGGTGGCAGTTCCTCTGGCCAGGTAATTGTCAAGACATTCACTGACCATTAAGCAGTATGTACGTGATGTTGCCATACATGAATTGAGAATTCTGTGGCTTGTTTCTTGAAATAAYGTAGGCAAAACTCTTTAGGTGTCATGAACTTTTCATATGGCTCTGGCAACCATAGACTCACTGAAGAAGCACTTTCCCATGTAGGAAGGAGTGCATGCAGGTGTCAGCTTTTGGATGCACTTTAGTATTCARCATACTTTGTACTTAACCAGATAATTCACACTAGGATATAGCTGATCCTATAACTTTAAAGCAGCCTGGCTACTAAAGCTCTTGAAAATTCATATCTGTGTTTGAAATGGAGAATAGGAATATTTGGATAATGAGCTTCTCTTTTTCTTTTCCCCAACAGGGTGGATCTGTTGCTTATTTTGGCAGCAGTGGTTGTGGACAAGTAAGTCTTCTTTCTCCAAATTATTTGAAAACTATAGCCAGCTTTCCTTGAAACAGTAACATTTTTGATAATATCTATAATGTTTGTTAGCTTGAAATCTATTGTTTTCCTTGTTATGTGGTCTTATCTAGCAAAAATCTAATGTTTTCCTTGTTATGTGGTCTATCTAGAGCTCAAGAAAGGCCAGTATTGTTGGCCATTGAAATGGTTGCTGCCATTTAGAGTTACACACAGAAGACAAGTTTACTCAAAAGCATATAAAATTTGTGCTTGGAAATTTTTGGATGTTGCTTCATTACTTTTCTATAGAAAACTATAGGATAAGAGAGTGGCTTTTATGGAATAATAATAAATTAGTAGTYTTCATCCTGGTTCCATTTCAACTTGTGTATGTCAACAATGGTGTAAAGACAATGTCYTCAATGATGAGATCCCAGGTGAAGGGATCAGGAATGAGGCCAATAGTAAATCTATGTTTAAATAAATATATTGAGGAAAGCMACAAGAATAAAAGTTAAATATAAATACAGAGATTTTAAGCAGTATTTAGCAGAAATATTAGGATTGATGTTCGTTAGGCATGGATAGAAATGTTTGTGAAAGAATCATWGGAAGAAGTACAAGGACACAGCCACAATGAAACTGATGAACACTGAAGAATGTGTTACTAAGCTGTATCACAGGTTGACTTACCAAGAGAACACCTGTGCTGTAATAATGGRAGGGTGACAATCAGGGCAGAACTCTTTCTGTTACTGTTCCTCATCTTCTTGTCCCAAAATATACCCGAAATGGGCAAATGAATGTCATTGAGCAGCAGCCTTGCCTAAAATCCATGATGGGTGAATCTAGCAAGAGATTGATTATCAACAATCAGATAGATGGTCACCCAGTAGTAACAGTTTCTTCCAAAAAGACCCCTTCAACCCCTCCAAGTTCATCTTTACCAATCAAGAGGAACTAGGATCATACAAAGAGCCATCAGTTACCAACTTACCTCTTTCCATGTGGCTCACAAGTAGTCCTTTGATCATGTGTGCATGTGCCTTGTGTGGGGGTATGAGAGTGGCAGAGGGTAAAATCACACACTTAAAGGGTTAAGTAAAATTAAACTTACCCTCTGTAAAGTTGTATGTTGAGTTTTGTAATATTATTTCTCACATAAGAATGTTAAGGAAACTAATTATTTTGCAAGAAAAAAGGCATTTACGTTTTTGTTTGTTTGGTTTTAAACAGGGTACTTCATATGATAGCAATCCCTGCCACCAGGTAAATGGTCTTTCTCCTCTTATTTTAAGATGCATCCAAAATTAGTTTTTCCACTAACTCATTTAGTCCAAAATTCACATTCACTTTGCACAAATCCATGTAATGTAATCTTACAAATTTGAGATTAGAACTCACTATCATCCCATACACAGGAGTATCACAGGGGCTGTGGAGYCTTTTTTGCCCCTTTTTCCTGGCATTATGTCTCTAAAATGTCTAAGGCCCAATTCTGGAAAGAAGTTTGCTGCAGAGTTCCTTAATTGGTATGACTTAAACCAGGGCTGGAGTTCACCAGCTCTCTTTTTCTATCAAAAGCCAGAAAATATTTGAAGGCTTGAGGTTTCTGAAACAAACTGGCTTAACCATTGATTGAGTTTGTGCAGTGAATTATAGATAACTACATGCATATTTGTTTCAAGTTAAAATGTTGGAGCTCTAAAAAACACTATCCTAAAAGACGTCAGCTATGTTTAAAGAAGTCATCTCCRTGACATTTAAAATTAGGAAGAAAACAGCCATAGATGACTTCTTTTTTTATTCACAATACTTCTTTAGATTCTTACTGAGTTTTCACAAGAAACAGAAAAATTGTATGGATTAATTGTTCCAACAAATACTGTGTTTTAGCAGTATAAACATAGCCTGTATTTATAAACAACATAGATGTTCTACAACATATTATTCTAATGGGATATAGTGCATACAATGCATCGTATGTAACGTATTATTGTCACTTGATAGAATTATATATTTAATAGCTATATAATTATAATAGCTTTTAATTTTTTTTCAAGGTAAGCTATTTCTTTTTAAGACTATGTGAAACACTTAAATTTTGTTCTAAAATCTTCTGGAACATTGAAAAAAAATACTTTTACCTTCATCTTCCTTTGACTGCCCTGAATGAGCCCTCAGTCCTGTTTTAGTGAATGGCAAATATCCCCCACAATTCAATAGTTCAGGATTTCACTGTTCTTATTAGGCACTTTTGACACTAATACTTCTACAAATGTYTCTTCTGATTTCACTCAGAGGAGTTACGTTCTTTTAAAGAGGGCATGTTGAAACATATTGAGTGTTTCATTTAAAACCTTTTCCTTGAAGCCACTGTATCTCACAGGTCACAGCTTTCTGTGTAATAATTCTACCAGGGAAATTTTTCATTTAATTAGTATAAATCAGGTTTTCTACAGGTGAAAAAAATTATATTCTCTAGAGACAGAGAATGTTCAGAATGGAACTCATCTGTGCATTGGACATTACTTAAATGACTTATGTCCTGTATAGTTATTTACCATTGCACTACTGTCAATCTATGCTCATTACATTAGAAATTATATCTATATTGTGTATCTTCCTCTGCTTCTTACTCTTCCTTAGTGAGTATCATAGCTTTTACCAAAAATATTCCATGGCCAAACAATGAATGTCTAAAGCATGCATCRTTTTTATCTGACTTACAGGGGGGATCACAGGGTGGTCAGGTAGGTAGCTCTTTATTATGCATTGATAAAAACTTTTAAAGCAATTCTAATCCACAGTATAGTTCTCTTATGGGGATACACACTCTTGCCAAGTTACTCCATGTCCAGCCTGCAACTCATTCTCTGCAAACATTTTATCAGCCCTGAAATTCCACTTACATAGAGATGKAAGTTACATGGAACTCCCATAGAACTCAGCAACCTGGGATAGCTGTATGCACTCAGACAAAATTCTGCTCTCTAGCAATTATAACTATTGCTGTTCTGTTTTCACAGGGGGTTCATACTCCTCACAAAACTATGGTCGTAGTCAAATAAGTATTGCCTCCTACTGAGATTCTATGATGGTTTTAACTTACATGATGGTTGATCAATATGTGATCTGCAATATTGTAATGTGAATTCTAATTATGTTTTTGTTGTTATTTCTTAGCAGAGTGGATCATCATCCTCCCAAAGTTATGGTGGCAACCAGGTAGGTAGACCTTGATTTTCTCTAGTAAGAATTTTTATATCTGATAAATTATCTAGATATTTTGAAAATTGTATTTGTTCAAAGGAGTCCTAGGTAATTGCTTATTCCAGTTTTACAGCCTCTGAACCAAATCACAGTTTCTTCTGAACTAGATTTTATTTTTCTTTCTTTTATAGGATGGATCTTACTCACAAAACTACGGTGGTGGCCAAGTAAGTAATACTCTGTTTCACTACTTGTACATCACTGTATATGAACTTTATCCTGTGCTCAAAATCAGGGTTTCTGTACTCTAATTTTCTCTGGTTTTTATTGYGCTTTTTGTTTGTTTTAAAGGGTGGATCATCCTCAGACACCTATTATGAAAATCAGGTAACTAGTTCTTTCTATCTCCTAGTCATATATTATTTGTAGTCTCTGCATCATCTTTCTCAAAGCTGTAATAAGACATAATTGTTTCTCTACTCTTCTTGGTTTGGATTTCTTTTGTTGGGCGTTTTTCTTTACTGAGGATTAGAACATTCCCTGTCAGCAACTACTGCAGCTATGGTTTTGGCTCCTTTTTTCTGATAAAGATCTTAATTTAATTYAACTCAGCTGCCTCTTTGCATAAGCATCTCTTCTATGATGTTTTGTAGAGTACGATTTTTAGCAATTCATTTTTGTAAGGAAATAACTGGTATTTGATGTCCTTCTAGGATTCACAGGATTTCTCAGATGATAATAATCCCAATGCTTGTGATGATGTGAGTGTGCTTTCTCTAATAAATTTTCMTCATAACATTTATCATGTAGATGAGAAAACATTGCTCTGTTAGATGCAGTCTTTGGAGCAGAGTGATCCAGAAAAAAATGTTGAGTTCCCACACTAACAGCTCCTTCAGCAGCTTCATCTCCTCTTGCTGAAAATTGTCATATATATGTTTACAGATACAGTTAGTGCTTTTCAATGCATTTAACTTAAYGAAATGAAATATGAATAAAAATATTTCAGTGGCTTTGTAGTAACAGATGATTTCCCCCAAAATCTAAGGTACATTTTAGATTAATTAAAAAAAAAAAACAAACCTGAAAGAACATCTTTAAGTACATATGATGAATGCAAGAAGAAGTGACAGATATTCCACTGCTTTTCATGTTACATTTCTACCAATCTCAGGTTGTTATTAAAACGTTTTTCAGACTGGAATGGTAGAATTTCAAACTGAATAATTTAAACAAGGCTGTGCAGAATGTGAGAAAATAAGTGATTTTTGTTATTTTTGTATGCGGTATCAGAAACAATTAGTTTTCTGCAAGCATACTTTATTTAAATAATTCTTTAAAAAAGAAATAATATGTTCTTTTCCAGAATGACATTACCTACAATGCCAATAACCAGGTAAGTACTTTKTTTGTTCTGTAGTAGTCAAACTCTAATGATTAATGACAGTGCTAGTAATTGAATACTTCTATATTAGACCTGTTGACCTTGCGTGTATGATTTCTTTATAATACCCTTCAAAAAGTTAATTATATCTCTGTATTCAAGGCTTCTGCACAATTACTTAGAACTTCACAATACTTCTAAGAATAAATACTAATACATTTTCTTCATAATAGATCCACTTTGACTRGAAAGTTGTTTGGAAATTAATCACCCGTGTACATGAGACATGTACAAGCTTTTCTCACTTGTTCAGATTTAAAGTCACTTATATATCCAGCTGTTGTAAAGTAACATTTGTTCCGGGTATTAGGCRGTGTCACTTTCTCTGTCAAGACTTCCCATGTGTCCTACAAGTAGAAACGCTGATTAACATGGATAGATTGTGACCAAGCAAATATATTGTTGTGTAAATAAACCAMATTTTCTCCCATTTGTTTCTGTTTGTAGAAAAGCTTTTTCCATCTATCTCAGCCTCCTTYTGTTTTACTGCCATCTAGAGCAACCTTCTGTCATCAGCTAATTGTCTTTTGAGTTCTCAGCCATCCACAATTCTGTYCCCCTATTTTTCCCTCTGTAGTACTTAAGTACTGCACCAAACATGTATTCTAGAAAGTACAGAAAACATCTTTTGTTTTGGCTTGTATTTACCTTGAGTGCATTGCACTAGGTTTAATTCAAAATGTTCTTTAAAAAAATCCTTCATCAGCAGGCCCTGTTTAGGAGCCTCATCACTTTCTCCTTTATTCACAAAAGATGTTAGTATTCCCTTGGTAATCTCTATCCAGTCTGTATTGCTGGACTTCATTGTAAAAGGATTTTCTTTTGAAGTTTCTCACAAAGAAGGATGTGAAAAAAAACACCCCAAGAGAGAATCCTTATACAGATTRTTTTCTAAACTACAGTGGTTCAGCTGAGGGACTCTCCAAAGCAGGAAATTCCCATTGAAAGGGATTAAGTGAAAACAAAAGATATGCTTCTTTAGACTCTTACTGCTAATAAAATGCAATCTCTGTACATTTTCCTTTCGTTTCCTTTCGTTTCTTTTCGTTTCTTTTCGTTTCCTTTCGTTTCCTTTCGTTTCCTTTCCTTTCCTTTCCTTTCCTTTCCTTTCCTTTCCTTTCCTTTCCTTTCCTTTCCTTTCCTTTCCTTTCCTTTCCTTTCCTTTCCTTTCC